ATATATATATATACATATATGTATTTGTGTATATATATATATATATATATATCTCTCTCTCTCTCTTGAACGTCCCAAACTCATAAAGCTCTGATACAGCGCTTACAGTACCTCAGAGTACCCTTATAGAGCCCTTACTTCCAAACCCCAAACCCTAAACCCCTACTTCAGGGTATTGCGAGGCTCGCGAGGATCCACGTAGCGCTGTCCTTTCCAAGCTCCTGCGAGCTTCGGTCCGTTTTGGGACATCGCTCTCGGGGTCTCCAAAGGGGCAACCCAGACAGCCCCAAGACCTGACCCCAAAGGGTTTAGGGTTTAGGATTTTGGGGTTTAGGGTTTAGGGTTTAGCTAAACCCCAAACCCTAGGCTTGGACCTAAACCACAAGTCAAGCACCCTGAGCCCTAAGCTCCCTCAGCCTCAAAACTCAACACATCCTAAAGCCTGAACCTGAGCCCAAAGTACCGGCAAGCCCCTGCACCATGAACCCTAAACCCTAAACCCTGCACCATGAAGCCCTACGAAGCGGCTAGCAGCGCTTGTCCTGGATGCTGCTGAAGAAGCCCATCGAGCTCGCACCTGCAAAGGCTTCGTAGTTAAACTAAGCCCTGAGCATTGATTGGGATACTGTTCCCCCTTAGTAGAGGCCCTCCAGGGTCTGGGGCTACGGGCCTTTATGGTTCAGGGTATTTAGGAACTCGGCTGGCGTCACACAAAGGCTTAGGGCGTGGGGGAATAAGTGGCGGCAAGAGAAGGAAGTGGTGAAGGACGTATCAGCTGCTTGCGTACACCAACAACCCGTCCCAGGCGGCGTGCGGGCTTGACCTTCGGCAACACGGTAAATGTACTTCTACTTGAACTAGTGGGGCTACCATCATAGTAACAGTGTATGATCTCAGCTGCTAGCACATGCAGTCCTAGCCGGAGCCAATAGTACATATTAAGCAACTTCGTTGTCGTAATAGAGGTGGTTGCCGTCGTAGTAGCGGTAGCAGTAACAGTAGTAGCAGTAGTAGGAGGAGTAGTAGTAGTAGTAGTAGTAGTAGTAGTGATAGTAGCAGTAGTGATAGTAGAAGTAGTAGTACTAATAGTGGTAGTAGCAGTAGTAGTCGTAGTAGTAGAAGTAGTAGTA